GCATACCACTTACTATGATGCTTGAGGACAAGTCATCAACGGGTGGTCCTGAGGTCACTAATCTTTTTAAACAATTTTTCAGTTCATTTTATTTTACAAAAAAATTAAATACTGTTGAATGTCTTGATTACTCAAAAACCTATGCAGATATATGCCATCCATAACCATTTATTAAATTCATTGTTATTGAGATCTTTGCAACCATTAATTCTTTAGATTTAAATCCGTGCCCGGGTCCAGATGGTATCCCTAATATTTAATTACGGTTATGTATCTTCTCGTTATCTGTTCCCATATATAGATTATTTAATCGTTCTTTAATTGTTGGAATTCTTCCCTACTAATGGAAAACCAGTTTTATTACACTTATTTATAAGTCTGGTAACAAAAGTTTGATAATAAATAATCAACTTTACCTAAATTGTTAGATAAATTAGTGACAAATGTATTAACATTTTCATTCAAAACCATTTTAGATAATAACAAGCATAGTTTTAGGAAAGGGCGATCAATGGAAACTAATCTTCTCTGTTTTTACAATTTCTTGGTAAATTTTAATGAATCCGGAATTCAGACGGACGTTATTTACACAGATTTAAGCGAGGCTTTCGATTCAGTAAACCATTCAGTGCTGATCGAAAAATTAAAAAAGTATGGAATAACTGATCAATTATTAACTTGGTTTAGTTCTTACTTAGAGAATAGATTCCAACAGGTGAAAATTAATAGTTTTCTATCAAATAAAATACCAGTGCCTTCAAGTGTTCCTCAAAGGGGGCATTTATCACCACTGTTGTTTGCATTATTTATTCTGGACATAGGTGCATGCTTTAAATACTGTAAGTACCAACTATTTGATGATGATCTCAAAATTTATGCAAATTTTATAACAATTATTGATCAGTATAAAATTCAAGAAGATCTAAACAGATTTTGTGATTGGGGCCACTCAAATGTGTTAAAACTGAACATCTTTTTCCCGTTCAAGAACGAAATTAATTAATGACTATCCTCTTGTTGATAATCAATTTGAGGATATTAGTACCATTAGTGATATTGGGGTACTTATTAAAACCAACTTATCATTTCAGCCACACATAACTGTCTGAAGTCTTTAAGAACTCTAGGGTTCTTAAATAGGAATACCAAAGAATTCAAGAACGAACAGTGTCTAAAAACGTTGTATACTTCTTTAGTTAGGCCTGCGTTGGAATATTGCTCATTTATTTGGAATCCTTCACAAGTCGGATTGATAGAATCTCTTGAGCGTGTACAAAGAAGATTTTTACGTTTAATTGCATATAAGAGACGTATGAATTCTATTAATAACCCTTCCGAGTCAATATCACTTAATTCTATACAGGCTACCCTAAACTTAGATTCCCTTGTTAATAGGCGAAAATATACAGACGTCTGCTTTCTTTCTAAATTAGTAAATTGTGTTATATCCTGTCCAGAACTATTACAATCCATAAACTTTCATGTTCCTAAATTTCATTCACGTTCTTGTCCCACATTTGAAATCTCTTTTCATCGAACATCTTACGGTTTTAATAACCCTGTTGATCGAATAGCCAGAGAGTGCAATTAATTAAAATTTCATTTGTTTATTATGAATGATTTGTATTCCTTAAAAGCCTGATTTTAGTAGCCTGATGCATATCATTGAATCACCTTTCTTTTTTGATAAATTTATTTTAATATTATGTACTTGATTAATACTATTATTGTAACATACTTGTATCTTATTTCAACAATGTTTATTATATATTCATTGTCACTGTACTTGAGCGCACCTGAGCGTGTTTACAACATATAAATAAATAAATAAGTGATATAAATTCGATTCATGAATTCTAGATTACAATTATGTAAACTTATTATGCATATAATTGCATATTTTTACATTTTTAAATGCATATTCTAATAAAATTTTGGTCATAAACATCCAAACACTAGTAATAGCATTAAAATATTTTGACACGGCCACGGCGTTGTCACACGTTGACACCCCGCGGTCGTGTCAGCTCCTTCTCAGCCACCGCTTAACTGTAAACCGGACCGTCACACACACGCGTTATCGCCGTGGTGTAAAGTCCAACAAATGCCTAGCGTCGCATACCCCGCCGCAATAATACGTCCAGTCAGTTATCTCCGTGACGCCTTTATGTGCGATTCCTTTTGCGGTCTTCGTTTTTTTTTTGTGCTTCTTGATACTTGCACTACGGATACACATCATTTTTCTTAAGTGTTTTTTTTTTCAAAAACATCTATCGACTGTGAACCATACAACCGAGTTCGATCATTTTTCAATACTTTGTTTTTTTTTGTTGTTTGTTTTTCTTCTTTTGTTGTAATTTAAATAATAAACTTCGGGTCACGCCCGTTAATACTTAGCAACCTTGTGCGTGTAAATTCTTTAACAATAACACGTATCAATTTATATTGTATAATAACTCTCTCTAATGCATTGGTTTTAATGAATACAATCAAATAGGTTCAATAAAACTATATTTCATTTATTATTAAATACAACTTTTTAGGGATTATTTGAAATTAATAATAATCATTTTAATCTTCAAGAACAATGTATACTATAAAAATTAAATTAAAATAATTTGTGATATTATATAAATAATTTATTTTTACCACCCTATACAGCTTTTATTCATGTTAATAAACATTTATAATTTAAATTAAGTTACTATCCAACACTAAGCGCCGACATTTATTGAATTAGCTTCTTTAGAAATGTAGTATATTTTTATGTATAAGTATTTTTTATGATTAAGGAAAATACAATTAGTATATATTCACCGCTGAAAGTTTGCCGTTCCTAAAAATTACAATCTTAAGCACTAGCTTATTATGTTTACTGCAAAATTGGACACTGGTTGTCATTGGGTATAGAATCCCAGTTCACCATACATTTATTAGTTTTTTAATTACTTATAACTGTCAATTGACATGAAGAACATCATCTACATATCGATCAACCTTTTTTTGAAGTGGAATAGCAGCCCTAGTGGGCTATAAGGGTGTTGGATACACATCGGTCGAATGTGCTGTCAAGAAATTGTATGTTGTGATTACTTATGTTATCTTTGTTGTCGGTCTTCTCTCGTTGTCTGCATTGCCGCCACCAACTTAGTGTTTTTTTAGCTATAAGCTCTATGGCGGTTGCAAGACAATAGTTTTCTATTCATTTTGTTATAAAAGTAATATATCACCTTTGCGATTGTCGCAACTTGTGTGCTCAGTATATCGCTATTGGATTTATATATTTTCTGAGATACATTACAGTACACGTTGGTCAACTATTTGCATTGGATCCTTTCAATATTCAACATTATCATCGGCCGTTTCAATTAGCCGATACGTATAATGCTTGTTCATCTTCTTTTTAAGATTTATTCACATTTATAATTTATTACTTTTAGCTTCGATGCGAAGCTGAGAAGGTATTAATTTTACCATGATGTGTTTATTTTTTTTTTTTTTTGTGTCTGTCACTACTTTTTCTCAGCTCTCACTGGACCGATTTCTTTTAACAATACGTCAAAAGATCACAAATTGTATCTAGTTGAAGACATTACCCTTAAAAATTTAAAAATTTTCCCTCATTTCCCGCAAATGGGGGAAATTTCCAAAAAAATTACAAATTTAAAAATCGACAAATTTTGTCATTTTTTTCACTTTTTTTTCTTAAAACTTCCATAACTTTTTCAAAAATCAACAAATCAACATAATTTTTTTTTA